CTGATCATTTCCTGGACCTGCAGCCAGGTGTTGGACACGCTGCTGGCAGGGCTGTATTGCAGGTGGCCTCACACCTGTCCCAGCTCTGGGTGGCTGCTGGAGGCAGCCTGTCTCCTCATGGCCTCTGGAGCAGACTGGCACCCTGCCCCAGCCCCGTGATCACCCCAAGCTGTCGTACCTCGCTTCCTCATCCCTTCCCTCCAGCCCTGCCCCTGTGTTCGCCCTTGCACTTTGATACATGGTATGAATCACAGGATTTCCTTCAGCCTGATTCATGAGTGCAGCTGGGAGGAGGCTCCCAAAGCAGGCAGAGCTCCTCCCTGGTCCCCCTGCCTCCTCCGCACCTCCAGTGCGGTTGCTCCTCTGTGCAGCTCTTGTCACTTTGGTGCCACACAGTAGTGGTTTCCCGTGTTGCCGTAGACATTGGGTAGTGGTTTTCATGGACCGGATACAGGCACATAAAGAGCAACAATCACAAGTTATTCACTTCCAATGTACTTCATTTTGGTCTGGCAAATCACACAGAGAACATCCCCGTGCCCTGAATAAACATCAGCTGTACAAGTGTCCTGGTTTGAGGTATGCATCTGTATGTGTAGATTTGACAGACAAAAGTAATAGTGATCTGAGCAAGATGCAAATGGTATGGAATAAGGGGTGGAATGTCCTGGTTTGAGGTAAAACAGGACCAGTTTTGTTCAGGAACTTTGCTAGTTGCCAGCTGGGCCTCTCCTAGCTACTGAAATCAACAGCATCTTGTGCAGACAACGTTCGCTCTCTCAGAGTGATAAGATCAATGTTTACAACTGATGCCAAGGTAAGGTATGCAGAGAGGCTCTTGCTTATACTTATTGCTGTAACACCCAGGGCCAGCTCACTTTATTATTTGCCCCGTTGGAGGGTTGGAAGCAGAAAAGTGTAGAGGGGTCTCACCTGTGGGGAGGAGCGGACAGGAGAGGTGACCCAAAACTGACCAACAGGGTATTCCATCCCATCTGCCTCGTGCTCAGTATAAAAGACGAAGGATCAAAGGGTCAGTCACTCTCTCTTTCTTCAGTGGCTGACATCCAAGGATGACTCTGTCTGTTTGTCTGCCTTTGATCCTGATCCTGATCCTGATCCTGATCCTGATCCTGATCCTGATCCTGATCCTGATCCTGATCCTGATCCTGATCCTGATCCCAGATCTGGAACCCAGTTCCTGTCCATCACTGAGTCCAGCCTGGGACTGCCCCAGTGCCAGCTGGTGACATCATTGTCATCCTGGGAGTTTGATACCGTTTTGTATATATTTCATGATGTTGTTTTTTATTTTATTATTAATATTTCATTAAAGCAGTTTAGCTCCTTCTAAACTCATAAGTCGCTTTTTCCTTCCTTTGCCCCTCTCTAACCCCGCCAACAAGCACCCCCGTGTGGTGTGACATGAGATACCAAACTGAACGGCAGCGGCAGCGCGCCTCATTTCCTACGGCCATTTTTGCTGACCCGCCACAGCTTCCCGGGCCGCAGCACGGCGCGTCCCCCCACAGCACAGCGCCGCCGAGCCCCTGCCGCCGGAGCTACCACTCAGGGAACGGAAAGTAACGACGGTGAAGGCCCCAGGAAGCTGCGGAAAGGAAATACCCTCGCTTTTCTTCCTGTGATTAAGGAAAAGCAGAGCGTAGGCCGAGGAAGGGGCGCGCACAACTGCGGGCGGAGCAGCGGCCGACTGCTGAGGGAGAAACCCGAGGAG